GCAGAGAAGGAAGAACCTGCACTCCCTCCCTCTGTAACAGAACACATAGCAAGCTTTGAAGATGAATCACTTGGCGGTGGTTGTGCATGGTTCTGTCCGCACAGTATGCGTCTGCTCAGGCTGCGGTCACAGAGCACTGCAGATCAAGGTGCTACTGGTCTGAGAAGTCTCTCCTGAGACGACTTCCTTGGCTTGTAGATGCCTGTCTTCTGGCTGTGTCCTCACATGGTCATCCCCCTGTATGTGTACCTGTGTCCTAATCTCCACTTCTTAGAAGGACCCGGTCACATAGGGTTAGGGTCCACCCTAATGGCCTCGTTTTACCTTAATCGGCTCTTTAAAGGCCCTATCTCTAAACACAGCTACATTCTGTGGTCCTAGGGGTTAGAGCTTCAGTATATGGATTTTGTGGGGGAGACACAACTTAGCATCTACCTTCCCAGGCCCTTCTCAATAAGAAAATGCATGTAGATGCTCAGTGAATCCTGCCAGGTTCTCTGGGATAATCAGGTGCACGGATGGGGAGGGTTCAGAGCAAGAAGTGCATCTTCTGTCCTAGCTTCCCATCTCCTGCCCCAATTGAGTCCCCAGAATTCACAGGCTGTCCTCAAGGCACCCTTTGCTCATGGCCCTCTGAGGAAGAATTGCAGTGACGATCCTGTAGGGGCTGCAGGACTTGTTCAGGGAAAAGATGCAGAAGTGGCTGAGCCATGAACATGTGGTCCCTTGACCAAACGTAACGATGTAGACAATGTCACAGACATGTCCAGATGAGTTCCTGGGGGGCAGGCTGAAGACACGTTCATTGATGCCCTCCATCACAAGTTTTTGAGTCCCACCAGGGCAAGGACTACCCTCTGTTAAGCATCCAGTAGAAACCTGTTCCCAAATGGGGTCCTGAAATGGGCCTGGCTTTCCTGGTCTCTTCTCAGGGATGAACTCAGCCTACCAACTGCACCAGCTCTGGTCCCAGAAAATGTGCCCAGAGCCTTGGATAGAATGGGGAATGCTTTGGTGATGAGGTGGATTAGAAAGTGATGGGGGTAAGAGTTTTGACATCCCCCAGGCAATTCCCCTCCTTACAGGATCATCCCTGCCTCTGTTGCTGGCAGAGAGAGAGAGGGGCAGTCACTTCAGGGGCACGAGGCCTGTACACCCACTCCCCATTGCTCTGTGTGGCCAAAGGTGTTCTTTTTGATCTTGGGCAGGTGGTGGAAGTTCACCTTCTCCTTTCACTGTTTGGAGCATTTCACAGTGTCAAGGATGTGGCCTGGCGTTCCAACTCTGAAGAGCTAATGGCTGGACACCAGAACAGGCTCCCACCATTGGAGAAGGCTGATGACCTTCAGTACAAAGGACCTTGAGAAAGGTGTTGCCTGCTGGATATCTGGAAAACTGAACTGACAGAGGGACCAGATGGAGAAAGGATGGAGAGTGGCATGGCAGGAAGCATTCTGTCCTCACAGAGATGGCCAGTGGTTCTCAGGACAGTCTTGAGGAAGCCACCCAAGCCCCTGCACCTCTGCTTCCTGTGGAATAGGTGGGTTAAAGTGGATGGTCTGAGAAGCTCCCCTGGATAGAAGGTTTGGCCATTCATAACTTGACCAAGTCAGGAACAGATGAAGCAGAGACTTAAAACTGAGCTGGCCATTAGCTCTCTAGCAGACTCCCCAGTCAGATGCCTGGAATCACAGTCTTCCATGGGACCATTTCCCAAGCCCTCCTTGTAAGTTAGCAGTGATGTCTTGCAACACTGAGGAATGTTTGTGCAGTACCCTTGGGAGAAATTCTAGAAGCCTCAACTGCAGTGCCTGGTCAGCTAAAACAAGAGTAGTTTCAGCACCACCGCCATGAAGGGAGTGGCAGGAAGAGAACACCAGTCTTCAAAACCATAGCCACACACCTGGAAATGGGGTAGGTAACTTTGAAGGCGGAAGAATGGAGAAGAATTCTATTTGGCTTTGCAATTTGTGGCTGATGGGCATTTGAATTCCCATTTATTCATAATTGGTGTGAACAGGGCCAATGTCACAGCACAGAGAACAGCAAAGTCAGAACAACGAAGGCTGAGGTTGATCCTAACTCTGCACCCCAAGTCTGTTCGAAGCATGCTCAGAACTCGACTGGATCTGACCAGGCCCCAGCAGAAGCTGAGCTGCACCTTCTTGCTTTATGAGCTCAGCACTTTTGCTTTTCTGAGTAGAAGGTAATAGAGTTTGTTTATCAGAAGGAACACAACAATCAAGCCTTCTTCCCACTCAGCTCCCATAGAACTCCCATCTGATTACTATGGGTTGGCAGGACCTACGAGATGTTCATGATGAACATCAAGCAATGAATTCGGCTGGAGAGCAAGGATGTCAGGAGGATGTTTAATGGAAATTTTTGAGGGTGCTTCAGTGCTGGGTCCAGACTATGAAGGTGTGATTTCAGCCAGGCGCAGTGACTCATGCCTGTAATCCCAGCACTCTGGGAGGTCAAAGTGGGAGGATTTTTTGAGCCAAGAGTTCGAGATCAGCCTGGGCAACATGTTAAAACTCTGTCTCTAGGCTGGCCACGGGGGCTCACGCCTGTAATCCCAGCACAATGGGAGGCCAAGGTGGGCAGATCACTTGAGGTCAGGAGTTCAAGACCAGCCTGGCCAACATGGTGAAACCTTGTCTCTGCTAAAAATACAAAAATTAGCCAGGTATGGTGGTGTGTGCCTGTAGTCCCAGCTACTCGGGAGGCTGAGGCAGGAGAATCGCTTGAACCTGGCAAGTGGAGGTTGCAGTGAGTGGATATCATGCCACTTCACTCCAGCCTGGGTGACAAAGTGAGACTCCCATCTCAAAAAAAAAAAAAAAAAGAGAAGAAGCAGAAGAAGAAACTCTGTCTGTACAAAAATTAAAAATAAAAAAGTTAGCTGGGCTCACTGGCACATGCCTGTGGTCCCAGGTATGGGAGACGGGAGGATCACTTGAGCACAGGAGGTTGAGGCTTCAGTGAGCACTGATTACGCCTCTGCACTCCAGCCTGGGTGACAGGGTAATAAAACCCTGTCTCAAAAAAAAAAAAAAAATGTAATTGTACATAGTCTGCCCTCCAGAAATCTACAACCTACGTCACGTTACTCCTAAGGGAAGTTCTCCTCCCTGCTGCAGCCTAACAGACAATGTGAGCACTAAAAGTTTCCCTGACCAACCATGTGCAGCCTCTGCAGACACACATGAGATGCCCTGTGTGTACCACAAGGGAAGCAGGACATGTGTCATGTTCAGAACTTTCTAGAGAAGTGAAAGGAAAATTGCCATGAATGCTCTTTAGATGTTTTCCAGATAGATTTCCATGGAGAACTTGGGATTGTGTTGCCCCTGTTTGTTTCAAATCTCCATGGTTGTTATTACTATCAAAGTGACACATGCCCATTGTAACAGTTAACAGACTTTTTTATTGCCTGTTCTTCAAGCTAGGACTCTGAGCATCCTTTGAGATGATGGAAGGAGGGGGGCCTTTGTGAGACGCGCGAGGCAGAGCCAGTGCTGGGAGAGTGTCACGTGGCAGAGGACTTGGATTCTTCATCGGGCTTTGGAGAGTTGTGGGGAGTTGGGCAGGTCCCAGGGAGAGACAAGTAGAAGCCTGGCGGTCTGGGGAAGTTTAACTGGTGTCTTGATGAATGGGGCTTCTGGATCTGATCTTTGAGCTTAAGGGAGAAAATGACTGGGTAACTTTGATTTCAACCTGGAAGAATGTCGTGGGGGAACTGTGCTCTGTGGGAGGGTGAGGCTTTCCTAAGGAGGTCATTGACGGTGGGACAGCATTCGGCCTCCTGTTGCATTTACTTACATTTAGTTGTGAAATTTTGGGAGAAAAGACCAACAAAAGAGACCCCAGATGGACTGTGCAACTGATGCACGGGGAGCTGGGGGTTGGTAATGGGGGAATCTTGCTTAAATGGAGATTGTATGACAAAACTCGAATAATGACTGGTTGTTCACGGGTGGATTTGGGGAGACTTCAATAACAATGGATTGTGTTTCATTTGGTTTAGTTGCAAATATCAAGTAGTCAGAGTTGTATATAAAATTGCTCTATGGCAATATGAGTATGACTTGGGATTAGGCACACTCAAACTCTCTGAATATTTGCCCATTGTGGGAGGAAATGCAGGGAGTAAAGTGCAGAGGCCTCAGAAGCCTTGGAAAATGAGTAAGGGGAAGAGGCACCCCTAAAGCCCGAGTGACACCACTGCTGAACCCAGAGGGCAACCAGAGAAGGACAGAGCTTCACAAGTCACGGCTTAAGAGTACTCTGAGCAGCAGTCGGTTGGAGAAAGCAACAGGGATTGTGGAGAGACCGAAAAGACCAGAGTGGGTGTGAGAGGAAGTCTGTGAAAAGGGCGAGATATCCCAGTGTCCTGGATCTTGGTGGCCTTGAGTGGCAGGTGGGGGAGTAGCTAACTGGAAGAAGGTTCAGGAAAGGGACTTTTGGGACTTTGAGTGAGGTGAGAAAAAGGCAGAAGCATGATTCCAGCACCTTCTCAGAGGAGAACAGTGTGGAACTCAGGGCAGTGGGTAAACCCTTGGTCTTCACAATTGGCGATTCCTCCTGTGGGCTCCTCTAAGAGAACAGGCTACTGGTGACAGGGACACCAATGCCAGCCGCACATCTGTGTGCCACAAGAATCGCATGATTCCTTTAGACTGAACCCACAAAGGCCTGCCCATGGCAGATGTGGCCCCACCTCTCAGCCCCCTAGCAAAATACACTGACTCAATATCACCCTTGAGCCAATGAGCTCCCAAAATGGCAAATGGGGTTGTTGAAACAAAAGCTCCATCTCCCGAGTTGTCAGCGTAGGGAGCAGCTGTGACCTCCAAGTTCGGTTCCTGATTCTGTGTTTCTTTCTCCTCCTCCTTTAGATCGTGGTGTATGTGGGCGTCTCCTCAGCCGGCAGCTTCGCTGTACCCTGCGGTTGATGTCCAAGGTTTTGACTGTGTGGGTTTGTGTCTTTCCGGCAGGTGTCTCCTCTGCAACTTCCCTGATGTCCCTGGCTTGGGTGCTAGCCTCCTATCACAAGCTGCTGCGGGACTCCAGGGACGACAAGAAGAGCATGAGCTACAGAGGGGCCGTCATCCAGCTCTTCTGGCGCCTCTTCACCATCTCATCCCGAGTGATCTCTTTTGCCCTCTTTGCTTCCATCTTCCAGCTCTATTTTGGGATCTTCGTGGTGGTTCACTGGTGCGCCATGGCCTTCTGGATCATCCATGGCGGAACAGACTTCTGCATGTCCAAGTGGGAGGAGATCCTCTTCAACATGGTGGTAGGGATTGTGTACATTTTCTGCTGGTTTAACGTCAAGGAAGGGCGGACTCGATATCGAATGTTTGCATATTATACGATAGTCTTGACCGAGAATGCTGCCTTGACGTTCCTTTGGTATTTTTACAGAGACCCGGAGACCACTGACTCCTATGCGGTGCCAGCACTGTGTTGTGTCTTTATTAGCTTTGTGGCTGGGATCGCACTGATGCTCTTATACTATGGTGTGCTGCATCCCATGGGGCCACGAGCTAAGATCCTTGCCAGCTCCTGTTGTGCCGAGCTGCTCTGGGGCATCCCTTTGCCCCCCGATGTTGAGCCCATGGCGCCTCAGATCCCTGGGTACCGGGGGACCCAGGTTACGCCCACCAGAGCCGTAACGGAACAACAGGAGGATCTCACGGCTGACACTTGCTTGCCCGTTTTCCAAGTGAGACCCGTGGGGCCCCCTACCCCGTTGGGGCGTCCTTACCTCCCAGAAGGGCCCCTCATTAAGATTGACATGCCAAGAAAGCGATACCCAGCTTGGGATGCTCATTTTGTAGACAGGAGGCTGAGAAGGACTATTAACATTCTGCAGTACATCACCCCCACCGCAGTAGGCATTCGATATCGAGACGGACCACTCCTCTATGAGTTGCTACAGTATGAGTCTTCACTCTAAGAGCATCTTGACCCAAATTGAGAAGGGGACTTTAAGTTTGGTTTGCGGCAAACACCGCTTGCAAGAAATATAACCCTCCCTTCCCCCAATACACAGAACCACCGCCACCACCACCAACACCGCCACACCAACACCACCACTACAAAAGAAAAAAAAAATTAATAAGTCACAACCCCTTCAAATAAGCTTTCTTTCCAGTCGCTGTATGTATACAAAGATATTCTCTATGTTTTGTAAGTAAAAACAAAAAGAAAACCTTTCTTTTGTTTTTTACACATAAGAAACAGTATTGAAAAATCCCACGCTATGGTTCATAGAGTGGAGAAGGAGGAGTTGTCTCCACTCCAAAAGAAAAAAAAAATGTTTTTTACCTTACACCAAGTGTAGATCATTTATGGGATTGGTGCTGATTGAAAGAACAAAACAAAACAAAACAAACACAAACAAACAAAAAACCTTCAACTGCCTTATGCCCTTAGGTGCTGAGTTTCATTAAGTACTGTCACGTTTTCTCATGCAAAACTCTCTGGTGATTTTTGCACCAGGAGAGGGGAAATTAAACAATCAAATGAAACAATCTAAAAGTGAAACAAAAACCAACCAACAAAGACAACATAAAGCAATTATTCTTCCTATCTGATTATTTGTATTGAAGAAAACAAATTTACCAAAAGCGAAAGCATAAAACCCGTCCCTCTTTTCAGTTTCTCCTCCTCCTCTCCGGACCTTCTCCCCACTTCGCAGAGCCTTCTAGGAGCTCGAGGGCTGTTTGAAACTCAAATGGCTGGAGCAGCTACTTGAAGGCTGACTATGTGCCATTTCAGCATTTGCCTAGCAAGAATCACATTTGTTTCCCAGTGAAAAGCAAACCAGAACAAAACAAAAAGCCACCCCAATAATTCGGTAAGGACAGGACATTCTAAAGCAAATTAAAGGAGATTTCTATATACATAATCAGTAATAATAAAACTCAGCATAGTAGCAAAAAGAACGACATCAATTTAAAGGCACAATACTTAATCAGTGACTGGCAACAATGATTAGTTCCATCATTTTAAGGCTGTGAACGGTAGACATTTATCACATGTGATATTGTGTAAAGCCTCTTCTGTTTCCATTTGGTGGGAAGCCTTAAATTGATCTGGAAAGAATTCTTCATTTTTCATTTGTGCTTTTTTTTAAAAAAAAAATAACACAAAGAGGAAAACTAGAATATATATATATACATATATATAAAAAGTCAAAATTGTAATAACTGACCCATTTCAAAGACTGTTTGGTGCTTCTGTCTTTCACCGTTGTGGTTGGCTGAAAATCATTCAGCTCACCTGGTGCATCTGGGTTGAGTGGGAAATTTTGTGTGTGTAGTATGTGTGTGTTTGTGTGTGTATGTGTGTGTGTGCCCATTGCACACGTATATATGTGTGTGTCCCTGCTGCAAAGTCTTGCCAGAGATATACAAAACTGATGTAAGATGGACTTGGATTACGGATTGGTTCAGCAGAGCATGGGGGCAGGGGCTCTGGAGTGGCAGGGAAGGGATGCCGCCTGCCCACGAGCCCTGGTTTGGGTGGCGAGACTCACAGCAGCAGCGGACTCCAGGCCTTAGAGGCTGTGCCATTTGGGTGAGGATTTGATTCCACTGTTTATTTTCTCATTGTATCAAGTTGAATTTCTGCAGGTGTTGCAAGTATGTTCAACCATTTAAAAACTTTTTATTTTTCAAAGTATTGTTCCTTTAAAGAATATTTCTGTTCTAGGGCATCGTTTCAATCCCATCGTATCTCTACTTGGGCACAAAACAAAAAAAAAAAAAAAAAAGGAAAAGAAAAAAATCACAAAAAAGATATATATATAAGTATATATATATATATATATAGACACACACAATATTTTTAAGTAAATACTGTTAGTCTTTGCTGTGTGTAGCTGCGATTTTTTTTCCAAATATATACCTGTTTAGGGTGCAAGACCTCACATTGAACTATTCTTAACACAAGTTCAATAACTGAGGGATTTTTTTAATGTTTATGGAGTTTTTTTTTTTTTTTTTTAAAAAAAACAATTATTATTCAGTGAGGCTTCTCCTTCCCACCCCCTTCATTGTTTATCTAAAACCTTTTTTTTTAAAGAACAAGTTTCAAATATCAGTTGTGAAACTGAATGCTCTCTTCTTTGTCTGGACTTCCTGAACTTCATGCGTCCTTACTAAGCATCGTGGTGCTGTCCTCTCCCCGTCCCTGACCCGGGGGTCCCCTCGGGCCTCCCTGGTGGGCAGGAGGAGGAGGAGCCCCCAACTCTAGGAAGCAGGACGAACAGAGCACACACAGGCAGCACTGAAAACCAGCCAGGAGGGCTCTGCACGCCCATCAAAGGACCCACCTGTGGGCCCCTGGAGAGTCACTTGGGAGTTGGAATCTAGTCAGAGGCACTTTTCTGAATCGCACCAGCCTGCTGCCTTTCAAGGGCTCCGTGCCTGAGCTCTGTGATGTACTCTGCTAGGCTGGGGAAGGTGAGGCCATTGGAGGGTTGGGCATCCGCTTTAGCTGGTGGGGTCCCACCTGTTGTCTGCCTTGGGTCTAGGGCTCTGTGCACCTGGAGCTGGCCCACGTCTGTCCTTAGCGCATCTTCCTTGAAACGCCCTCATGCATCCCCTCGGGACTTCTGCCACTTCTGCTTGTGTGTCTGTTCTTGGATTTCTTTCTTTCTTCCTTCTTTTTGTTTCAGCGCAGTCACAGGTTTTAATTCGCCACCTCTATTTCACTCTTGCACAATTAGCGCGTGTGTGTCCCTGTGTGTGCATCCTGCCATGTTTACATGAAACTTACAAAGAGAACGGTAGATGCTGAGCTGACCGGGAGCACCAGGAGTTGGGATGGCAACTTCCAACTCAGGGAGGGCCTCCAGGGTCTTAGCCACTAGGAACAAATGAGGAGATCACAGGACATTTCAGCAATCTTTTAATTTCACACTTCTCACTGGAAAAGGCATCCTTGCCCCTCCCTGGAACTCCTCCATCATGCCAGTACTTTCTTCACAAAGAAAATGAAAATATGCATCTGTGAGCAGTAGCAGGGAAAGCTGGTTTTGTAGAGATGCAGGAAAAAGAAGAAAAGCAAGGAAAGAAGTAGAGAGCAAGGCATGGAAGAGGCAGGGGAGACCTGATGGCAAGGACCAGGCCAGCGCTGTCCTCAGTGTCCTCTTGTCATCAGCCTCTAGCAGCTCCCCACACTCCCAGTTACCCTGAAACTTTCTGGCATCATCTCCCCTGGGGTCCTTCCCCCGAGGCCCTTCCCCTTCCAGTGAATGGTCCTGGGCATCAAGGCAGGATTCCATACACACTCAGTGCTGAGACCACCTGGGGACCGTGTCTCCGGACCCAGATGACTTTGGTCCTGAAAGCCCAGATCCTTAAGGCCGCCCCCTGACAGGGTCGCTCTTTGTCCCACACTGGGCATCAGCATTTAATCTTTCATTTGCCTGAGTCCCTGACAACCCTCCAGGGCTGCTGCTCCAGCTGCTTCCCAGAGGAATGCCCATGATGTTTTTAGGTTTTTTTTTAAAATTTTAAGTCTCTGGGCCCATTTCTTTCCCAGGACCTCCTGAAGAAAATCAATCCATTTCCAGTATTAAGGCCTGGTAAGCACATTGGTGCCCAGAGATAGAGAATACAAAAACGATCTCCTTTTCATTCCCTGATGACTCCCCCATCAAGTATGCCCACTAAGCCCCATATTTTTTTCCTCTAACCACATAGAATATTTGGCTCTACTTTTTCTTCTCAGAAATGTGGTAGTATCGCCAAACTATAATGGTGTCAGAGTCCTTTCTGCAAACTCTGCTTCTCCCTTGCTCAGCAGGTCTGCCTCTTCTCCCAGCCTCTGCGTAAAAGGAAACTTCAGTCCCATCAGATGACATCGGGATGATGTCCCCTGAGTTCACTGCCTGAAGCCTGTGACATCCGGAATGGGGGCTCCCTGTCTCTTCAGGCCATGATGTGGGGTGCTAGGGAGGCTTCAGACCATCAGATCAACCCCCTCTGGCCTCACTCCCCCCAAGGCTTCCCATGTCTTTAACACTCTCCTGCACTCTGCCTCTGGAAGGTGTCGCCTGGTTCTGCAGGGTCAGGCTTGTCCCAGCAACATGGGTACCAGGACACTGGTAGGACACTCACCCAAGCAGATCTGGGGCCAGAATGAAAGAGGCCCCATCTCCCTTGCCCAGACATGCTGCCATCACAACACACCCTTGGGCAGGGAAGATGACATTTCCCCATGGCCTGGGGATCCCCCACACCACACCTCCCAGGCACAGAATCATTGAAGACCACCCCATGGTCCCCATGGCTCTAACCCAGTCCCTCCACAGCGGTGGCCCCTCGGAATCCCATGATCCTGTCTGGCCCGTGGTCATGAAGGTGATTCCCCTGGCTGGGGGGCGTCTCATGCCACGGATGTCTGACCCTGCCCGGATATGAGCCTGATTCTCAGAAAGAATTTACAGGTTTTAGAAAAGCGCCAATTTACATCATTTTCTCCATTCTTCCTCCAGTTTTATTCCCTCCCACTGCACAGTCATGGGGGCAGAAAAGAAGGTCCCTGATGTGGATCTGGTTTGAAGCTGCACTGGGTGGGCCATGGCCTCACTTCTTGCTGTACACCTAAACCCCTTTGCAGTCTTCACAAGCCAGGTAGAGGAAACACCACCTTTCTTTTCTCCATCTGGTCTGCTGCTTGCTCATGGAAGGGCTAGAACCAACCCCAAGCTTTGATGCCCCCAGACCTTAGCACAGGGGTCCTCTCTCCATGATCCAGGGACAGAGCAAGAAGAGCATGACAGTGTGCAGGCTCAGAGCCTTGGGCTTGGAGCAAAGGATATCAGCTCCTAGAAGAGAATGAAGCAGGCCATATTCTCATGCTCCTGGCTCGCTCGGATGAGCTGGGCTGGGGACTGTCACCCAGCATTCGTTTGGCACAGATGGTAGCATTTTCTTTGCCAAGAAAAGTGGCTCCTTACTCAAAATGAGCCCTTCCAGGCCTTGTATGTGTGATGACAGCTGCTCTGGATGGTGGCTTCATGATTGAAGGAGGGGAATCTCCTTGTGTACCTTTAATTTGATTTTCTTACCAAGAAGATAAAATCTATTTTTTCTTTGCCAAACTGAAAAATATTAACACAACCAGATTTGGTTGTGGAGGTTGAGATTTAAATTCGGATAATGTAAAAGGAAGAGAGCTTATTGCCATTAATTTCACCAAGATCCATGTGATACTCTCAGTGTGAACTAGGAAACCGTCAGGGAAATCTGGAGGAACTTAAGGGAGACCTGGGGAAGACTGCAGGAGTGAAATGGAAGGACCCAGAGGGGTGGGCCCAGGGGCTGGACCAGTCTTACAGGGAGCAGTTCTATTCATTTCACTTTCAAACATTTATTGGTCACTAGACCCTGTTGGGCAGCCCCCTTCATCAAGCACAACACAGTTATCCCTTAGGGAGTGAACGTAAATCAGTGTTGGTTCCTCTTATCAAGGTCCAGCTGAGAACCAGATGAGCACAATGGGAACCTCTTTAAGCTTCTGTCCCTTTCTCCTCAGCCCAAACTGGCCATTGTCATAGAAGCAACATTCCATTCTCACCCACAGTTCAACCTCCAGAACACAGAAATGGCAGGGGCCAGCCCATCACAGGTTACAAACCCATGAGCTTGCAAGAGGACTTCCCCCAGCATCCTCAATCAATGTGTGCCTGTCCCAATTTCAAAACATGTAAAAAGATAAAAAGGCAACTCTACCCTACCAGAGATTTTTTTCTATCCCCCTTCACTGGGAAAAAAAAGATGATGCTTAATCTGAATTCTTGCGGTGGCAACACAAGCTCCTTTCTCACCCATCCCTAGCTATTCTAAACATTTCACTTCTTGCTTAAACACTGCATCTCATGCTGTTGGCCAAATATCAAAAGACAAGGGTGCTGCCTTGATCCTGCTGCAGCCTCCTTCCTTGGCTCGCCTGGTCCTGTCTGCCTTATTCAGCTCTCCCTGGCACCATCTGCTCCTTACTCCTGTGGCTTTCCTTGCACTGGCTGGCAGACCATGGCTGGTATATCCTGGAGACAAAGGTCGTGAGTGCTATTAATGACAGCTCCCGAGGGCAGCAGACGGACCACTGTGGGAGTTCCTCCTGCTCTTGGCCAACACCTTGTGTCAAGAGCTAAGAATAGACCACATTGGAAATGAGCAGGCAGGACCTAGGGACACCTGCCCCAGGCTGCCCCATCACGTGCAGAACAGTACGCAGGTCCCAGGAGAGGATGCTGCCCTTGTCATTCCCTAACACAAATCCCAGGACCCCAACTACCCCTAAAAGTCATTCTCAAACCAGTGAGGACAAAGAAATAATTTCCCTTTAGTATAGTGCCAATTGGTAATCCAGTGCACATCCCTCTGTAAGCAACATTTAGCCATCTGTCACGGTGGGTACAGACAACCCATCATCTGTTAGATGAGCTCCCCTGGTCTGTTTGTCCATCTTCGACATAGCTCTGGGATCCTCGGGCTAGAGTGGGCTCGGGAGATTTGTTTTAGCTGCAGACTTCCTAGGGGCTTTCCTTTAGACCCAGAAAGATCAGGAAATGTCACAGGCTGATTCAGGGTCCCCACTGTGATTGTGGATAACTCACTTCACCTCTCGGTGCCTTGGTTTCTCCATCTGTAAAGTGGAGAGAAAGAAGGCCAACCTCTTCCTTCTCTCCTGCTCAGGGATGCTTGGAGGATTCGTCATGTTGCCTGTAGCAAAGCCGTCACATGAGAAAAAGTGGTGACCTCATTTCTTGGGAAATGGAACCACAGGAGGAGAGAGTGTTTTCCAGGTGCGGTGGCACCCGGAAGCCACAGGATGAACAGGGAGCACGGCGGGACAG